AAAAATATCATCCGGTTGACCACAATATTTAGGACACATACTTCCACATTCTCTATAAATTTTATTATGACCGCATGGTGCGGGGCAATTCTCTTCTGTTACACATTCATCTGAATCTACAGCTTTTTTAATAAACCCAGACGCACAATAACAACCAGGTACGCATTCCAACGTACAAACTTCATTGGGATCAACTTCTTTATTGCAATAATCAACGCAATTGGACCCACAATCATCCCATACTTGATTGAGGCCGCATTCTTGACCAAAAACAGCAACACCTAAAGAAATGAAAAATCGTTTAGAAAATATCACTTTCTTAACGTTATTAATTTTAATTTACCACAAACCAAAAATATAGCAAAAATAGGATACATTTTTGACAAACTTAATCTTGAATGTGGTTTGAAACGTTTTTATACTTCACCATATCCAAGAACAAATTTTTGAATACTAAAAACAACACGTAGATGTCAAATAAAATGTTTAAATTTGTTGAGCGTTTTTAAAATGTAATATTAAATATAAGTGCTGCTTTCAACTTCATTTCTAATCTTTTACGACCACAATCTTGCTTTCTGCAAACAGTATCTAGTCGATATCTACACTTCTACAATAAGTATCTCCTTTTATGTACAGTTTTTACTCTTCTGCAAACGTTAGCTAGTTTTGCAATCTTTTACAAACAATATTTAGATAAAAAGGCTGATGATTTTTTTGCATTAACTAATGTTTATTTCTAATAAATCATATTTTACAATAATTTGAATTAAGTAAAAAATTTCAAATAAGTGACGGAATTAGATTATTAAGTTAACAAGCGGTTTCAGGAATACAAACATTGCTGGTGTCATCTTGAAGAATATAACCTGGCTTGCAGAAACATCCTTCAGTGCAAACTTCAATACAGACTCCGGGGGTGCCACAAACGTCGGGGCAAGCCGATCCACAAATAAGATATTCTTGATTAACCGGACATGTGGGGCATTCTTCTTCTGGTACGCAAAAGTCTGCATCGGCACCTTTGAATTTGTATCCGGGGATACAGAAACAACCACCTATACATTGGGTGATGCAAATTTCGTCTGGATTATTTCTGGTGCAGTAATCTTTGCAGCTAGAACCGCATTCTTGTTCCACTGTATTCGCCCCAGTACATTGTCCAGCAGCAATGGCAGCTAACAACAAAATGATATCGAATAAGACATAAAAAATAATTAACTAAATCTTACCGCCAATTAAAACAAGAAGAACGTTGATAATAACTTTTTCCATCTTTGTGATTTTCTGAAGGTGTTTCGATCTATTGCAAGGATCAGAATGTTTTTAGTGGTTACTAAAAGGGTTTTTATATGAAATTTTTACGATAAGGAAATAATCTTAATGTGTCAAACAAATACAAGTATCATAAAATGGGTGAACTTTTACCCAGAACAAAATTAGTTTACAACTTATTTGTATTAAAAAAATTCCTCAAGGTGTCTTTAACAATTTTATCTCATTTTTTTATTTCATTCTCGAAGTTTTATTAGTAGCACTAATTTAGCAGTAAATTTCCACAAATAAATCAAACTAAAATCAAATTATTTGTTAATTAACTTAATCGAGCATTTTCTTTCATATAACAAGATACACCAAAGAAGTATATAAATGAAGAAAAAAATGTATCATATTAAATATTGATAAAATTTGCTTCAAAATGCATGAATTTGAACATATTTTAACATAACCTGTCATAGCTAGATATACCAGAATGTATTAACAAAATCATAACGTCTGGGTCTATAAGAATAAAGAAATGATTTTTACCAGCTTTAATGTTAATTAAGTTTGCTTTAAAATGGTATATATTTCATCTTAATACCTCAATGAGATTCCGAGATATCACATTTTGAAGTTGAGCCTTTTTAACACAATCAGATATATTAAGATGTATTAAAAATATCATATCATCTGGCTTTATAAGAATAAAGAAATAATTTTTGTCACGTTGAATATTAATTACATATGCTTTAAAATGGTGTATATTTCATCTTAATACCTCAATTAGATTCCGAGATATCACATTTTGAAGTTGAGCATTATTTAACATAACTAGACATATCAAGATGTATTAAAAAAATCATAACATCTGGGTTTATAGGAATAGAGAAATGATTTTTATAAGATTAAATATTAATTAAATTTTCTTTAAAATGATATATATTTCATCTTAATACCTCAATGGGATTCCGAGATATCACATTTTGAAGTTGAGCCTTTTTTAACACAATCAGATATATTAAGATGTGTTAAAAATATCATATCATCTGGCTTTATAAGAATAAAGAAATAATTTTTGTCACGTTGAATATTAATTACATATGCTTTAAAATGGTGTATATTTCATCTTAATACCTCAATTAGATTCCGAGATATCACATTTTGAGGTTGAGCGTTTTNACGTTGAATATTAATTACATATGCTTTAAAATGGTGTATATTTCATCTTAATACCTCAATTAGATTCCGAGATATCACATTTTGAGGTTGAGCGTTTTTTAACATAACTAGATATACCAAGATGTATTAAAAAAATCATAACATCTGGCTTTATAGGAATAGAGAAATGATTTTTATGAGGTTAAATATTACTTAAATTTGCTTTAAAATGATATATATTTCATCTTAATTCCTCAATGGGATTCCGAGACATCACATTTTGAAGTTGAGCCTTTTTTAACACAATCAGATATATTAAGATGTATTAAAAATATCATATCATCTGGCTTTATAAAAATAAAGATATGATTTTTGTCACGTTAAATATTAATTAAATTTGCTTTAAAATGCTGTATATTTTATCTTAATACTTCAATGAGATTTCGAGATATCACATTTTGAAGTTGAGCGTTTTTTAACATAACTAGACATATCAAGATGTATTAAAAAAATTATAACATCTGGCTTTATAGGAATAAAGAAATGATTTTGGTCACGTTAAATACTAATTAAATTTGCTTTAAAATGCTGTATATTTCATCTTAATATCTCAATTAGAATCGGAGATATCACATTTTGAAATTGACCGTTTTTTAACATAACTAGATACACCAAGATGAATTAAAAAAATCATAACATCTGGCTTTATAGGAATAATGAAATGATTTTTGTCACGTTAAATATTAATTAAAATTGCTTTAAAATGGCATATATTTCATCTCAATGCCTCAATTAGATTCCGAGATATCACATTTTGAAATTGACCGTTTTTTAACATAACTAGATATACCAAGATGAACTAAGAAAATCATAACATCTGGTTTTATAGAAATAAAGAAATGATTTTGGTCACGTTAAATATTAATTAAAATTGCTTTAAAATGGTGTATATTTCATTTTAATACCACAATTACCGTCCCAGATATCACAATTTGAAATTGACCGTTTTTTAACAACTATATATACCAAGATGAATAAAAAAAATCATAACATCTGACTTTAGAGGAATAAAGAAATGATTTTTATCACTTTAAATATTAATTAAATTTGCTTTAAAATGGTGTATATTTCATCTTAATATCTGAATTAGAATCGGAGATGTCACATTTTGAAATTGATCGTTTTTTAACATAACTAGATATACCAATTCGTGAGAAGGTAATTAAATTTAATATTCTTAGTATTATACTTTTGAAACTGGTTTTATTATTTATTTAATTAAGTCTTACTAGTTTTACCCTACACCTCCTTCCCCTACACCTACCCTTACTACCCTTTATCCCCTTTTTTATAAATTAATTTAAAATCCACATTTTACATACCAAATTATCCTCACCCTTTTATTTTGTGATTAGTTCAAAAAGTGTTGAACCATATCACAACAAACTAACTTTTATAAATTTTCAAATTACAACAAATTTACTAATTGTTTATATAGGCAAGTTCGGATTACCTTTTTATGTTTACAATAAAATGTTTTTAAAAATTATATAAAAATTTTTAACTACTTCAAGTTGCTTTACTTTTATTTTCAAATTAATTACGTTTCATCGTTTACAAAAATGGTGTTTTCTCTCTTATTTTTCCGTTACGACTTTTGTACTAAAACGTCACAACACCAAAAAACTTGTTCCTGTATTATTTCGCTGCACTCGTTTTATATTTAGATTCAGAACGTTCTTTTTAACGTGTCGATCTCTTGTTTGTCGTAACCTACAAAGTAATTTTATTTAAACTATTTGCAATTACACTTAATACTTTGCAATATGACATCTTAGTTAACTCTTATGACATTGTAAGTACTTTTTTATATGAATTTTTATATTTATTTGTTGTATTTTTTATAAATTTAATTCGACTTTCATATCAAATTTCGAGACATTTTGTTAAATAATTAAATTGACTGATTGTTAACCTCATTGTAGAGTCTCTGAAGATGGCCATGGGCCGAAACTAGTAAGACTTAATTAAATAAATAGTAAAACCAGTTTTAAAAGTACAATACTAAGAATATTAAATTTAATTACCTTCTCACGAATCAAACATTTGGATTTTAACTATAATTATCTAGGGCCCACTTTTACCATCCTCCTGATAAACTATCTAGGGGATAGTTGCCATGGTTACGGCGGTTTTAAGCGCTCTCATTGGCTAAGAACTGGATTTATCTATCGGATAAATTTATCAGGAGGTGGTAAAAGTGGGCCTAAATATACCAAGATGAATTAAAAAAATCATAACATCTGGCTTTATAAGAATAAAGAAATGATTTTTATCACGTTAAATATTAATGAAATTTGCTTTAAAATGGTGTATATTTCATCTTAATACCTCAATGAGATTCCGAGATATCACATTTTGAAGTTGAGCCTTTTTTAACATAACTAGATATATCAAAATTCTGAAAACACCTGAGTTTCAGGACATTTCCCGTATATATTAATTTATGTATAAACAAAAATGATAAGGTCAAAAAAACAATCAAATTGATGCTTAATTAATTTTTATTCTCTGTTCAATATAAGATATTTAACTCTTAAGGGCAACTTGCTTCAAGGATACAAGCAGAACTGTTATTATCAATTGTACGTACAAATCCATCTTTACAGAAACATCCTTGCACGCATTGTTCTGTACACGCAGTACCTTCTGGTTTTCCACAATAATCTTGACAGGCAGTTCCACACATTTTATATATTTCATTGGCACCACAAGTAGGGCATTCAGATATAAGAATGCAATCGTCATCTTCCGCATCTATTGCTCTCTTGGTGTAACCATTAGCTTCATCGCAGAAGCAATCTTCCACGCATTCCGTGGTGCAAGTTTCACCAGATGGTTTATTACAGTATGGTCGGCAAGCAGATCCGCAATCGTCCCAGGCTTGGTTTGGACCACATGTTTGTGTAATAACAGCGGCAGCTACAAATTATTGATAATATTAATTCAGAAAAATATTAAATTAAAAAATTAGATAAAAATCGGGTCTTTAAGATATCGTTAAGAAGTTTCTCTGTCTCTACCACTTTTTTAATAAAAGTAGATGCACAATAACATTTCATTGGAATCAACTGCTTTATTGCAATAATCAACGCAATCAATGATATCGAATAAGATATAAAAAATAATTAATTAAATCTTACCGCCAAGTAAAACAAGAAGAATAATTTTTTCCATTTTTGTGATTTTCTGGAGGTGTTTCACTCTATTGCAAGGATCAAAAGGTGAATGTTTTTCATGGTTACTAAAAGGGTTTTTATATGAAATTTTTTATACGATAAGGAAATAATCTTAGTGTGTAAAACAAATATCATAAAGTGGGTGAACTTTTACCAAGAACAAAATTACTTTACAACTTGTTTTTTATTAAAAAAATTCCTCAAATATTATTTATAACCATCAAATAGAGAGTGAATTCTCAAGGTGTCTTTAACAATTTTATCTCATTTTTTTATTTCATTCTCGAAGCTTTATTACTAATTTAGTAGTAAATTTCCATAAACAATAATCAAATTAGGGTAAACTGTACAGTGATTGGCCATTTAAGCGCTACTTTGCAATGCTCTATCACTAAATCATTTAAAATTTTTGTTAATAATAAATAAATCATTGAGATAAACAATATGAAAATGTACTAATTTTCAATTTCCAATAGACAGTTATTGGCCTGTACATTTATATAATTGGCCAGTGATTGGCATATGTTAAAATTGCTTTAAATATCTTTGTTTTATTGGCCATTAGTGTATAAGTGATTGGCATACTTACTCAAAAATTAAAATAGACAAGAAAAGATAATCTTTATTATATTATAATTCGAAGTTCATTCAGAATTTCTATTACGAAGGCAAACGGTGCAGTAAAAGATTTTGTTTGTATCAATATTTTTGTTAAATTTTAATATAAGTACACTTATTATGGTATGATCTTCTACATGTATGGCAATAAACACCCTTGATACATGGAGTCATCTTTTTAGTACATGTAAAACATAGTTTATTGGTTGCTGGTAAATTATTTGGAAATTCAACTGATTCTTTTTCAGCAAATACTTATCTAACAGCTTTATGTTTGACTTTTGAATGGATGCTTCTGGCTCATTAGTTAAAATCTCATGTGTTTGATTTTCATTTAAAATATTTGTATTATTTTTTAGAACGATGACCTTTTTTTTCTTAATTCCACCTGTATTACTTGAATTTCCTTTTTCTTCTCAGTCTCCGCTTGTTTCCTCAATCTCTCAGTTTTCCGAGCGTCTTTCCTGTCTTCTTCTTGTTTTTTCAATTCCAATTTTTCAGACTGAATTTTTTTCCAATGTGTACGCGTTAAAACAAAAAGTAACCTCTCCGTCCGCTTTTTCCCCTTTCTTTTTGGAGTCTTAGGCCAGCGTACAAAATTACGTATACTGGAGTTTTCTGTATTTTCCTCTTCATTCATATTTCGTGATGTATTCAAGTCTTCATTATTCTCTTCGGGTATAAAATATAATTGTTCTGAAATGCTTATCAGAGCACCACTTACTTCTATCATCTGATAATTCTCTTCACTCTAAAAATGATGATTCACGTTTTCATTTATATCGGAATGGTTTATATCATATAGAATCTCGAAAGATTCAGTTGCTTCTACATTCCTTTTCGGTTATCATATCATCTGGCTTTATAAAAGTAAAGATATGATTTTTGTCACGTTAAATATTAATCAAATTTGCTTTAAAATGGTGTATATTTCATCTTAATACCTCAATTAGATTCCGAGATATCACATTTTGAAATTGACCGTTTTTTAACATAACGAGATATACCAAGATGAATTAAAAAAATTATAACATCTGGTTTTATAGGAATAAAGAAATGATTTTGGTCACGTTAAATATTAATTAAAATTGTTTTAAAATGGTGTTTATTTCATCTTAATATCTTAATTAGATTCTGAGATATCACATTTTGAAATTGACCATTTTTTAACATAACGAGATATACCAAGATGAATTAAAAAAATCATAACATCTGGCTTTATAGGAATAAAGAACTCAATTTTAACAGGTTAAATATTAATTAAATTTGCTTTAAAATGGTGTATATTTCATCTTAATACCTCAATTAGATTCCGAGATATCACGTTTTGAGTTTGAGCGTTTTTTAACATAACTAGATACATCAAGATGTATTAAAAATATCATAACATCCGGCTTTATAGGAATAAAGAAATGATTCTGGTCACGTTAAATATTAATCAAATTTGCTTTAAAATGGGGTGTATTTCATCTTAATACCTCAATTAGATTCCGAGATATCACATTTTGAAGTTGAGCGTTTTTTAACATAACTAGATACACCAAGATGAATTAAAAAAATCATAACATCTGGCTTTATAGGAATAATGAAATGATTTTTGTCACGTTAAATATTAATTAAAATTGCTTTAAAATGGCATATATTTCATCTCAATACCTCAATTAGATTCCGAGATATCACATTTTGAAGTTGAGCGTTTTTTAACATAACTAGATATACCAAGATGAATTAAAAAAATCATAACATCTGGCTTTATAGGAATAATGAAATGATTTTTGTCACGTTAAATATTATTTAAAATTGCTTTAAAATGGCATATATTTCATCTCAATACCTCAATTAGATTCCGAGATATCACATTTTGAAATTGACCGTTTTTTAACATAACTAGATATACCAAGATGAACTAAGAAAATCATAACATCTGGTTTTATAGAAATAAAGAAATGATTTTGGTCACGTTAAATATTAATTAAAATTGCTTTAAAATGGTGTATATTTCATTTTAATACCACAATTACCGTCCCAGATATCACAATTTGAAATTGACCGTTTTTTAACAACTATATATACCAAGATGAATAAAAAAAATCATAACATCTGACTTTAGAGGAATAAAGAAATGATTTTTATCACTTTAAATATTAATTAAATTTGCTTTAAAATGGTGTATATTTCATCTTAATATCTGAATTAGAATCGGAGATGTCACATTTTGAAATTGATCGTTTTTTAACATAACTAGATATACCAATTCGTGAGAAGGTAATTAAATTTAATATTCTTAGTATTGTACTTTTGAAACTGGTTTTATTATTTATTTAATTAAGTCTTACTAGTTTTACCCTACACCTCCTTCCCCTACACCTACCCTTACTACCCTTTATCCCCTTTTTTATAAATTAATTTAAAATCTACATTTTACATACCAAATTATCCTCACCCTTTTATTTTGTGATTAGTTCAAAAATTGTTGAACTATATCACAACAAACTAACTTTTATAAATTTTCAAATTACAACAAATTTACTAATTGTTTATATAGGCAAGTTCGGATTACCTTTTTATGTTTACAATAAAATGTTTTTAAAAATTATATAAAAATTTTTAACTACTTCAAGTTGCTTTACTTTTATTTTCAAATTAATTACGTTTCATCGTTTACAAAAATGGTGTTTTCTCTCTTATTTTTCCGTTACGACTTTTGTACTAAAACGTCACAACACCAAAAAACTTGTTCCTGTATTATTTCGCTGCACTCGTTTTATATTTAGATTCAGAACGTTCTTTTTAACGTGTCGATCTGTTGTTTGTCGTAACCTCAAAGTAATTTCATTTAAAATATTTGCAATTACACTTAATACTTTGCAATATGACATCTTAGTTAACTCTTATGACATATATTTATTTGTTGTATTTTTATAAATTTAATTCGACTTTCATATCAAATTTCGAAACCTTTTGTTAAATAATTAAATTGACTGATTGTTAACCTCATTGTAGAGTCTCTGAAGATGGCCATGGGCCGAAACTAGTAAGACTTAATTAAATAAATGATGAAACCAGTTTTAAAAGTACAATACTAAGAATATTAAATTTAATTACCTTCTCACGAATCAAACAACTGGTATAATTGATTTTAATTATAATTATCTAGATATACCAAGATGAATTAAAAAAATCATAACATCTGGCTTTATAAGAATAAAGAAATGATTTTTATCACGTTAAATATTAATGAAATTTGCTTTAAAATGGTGTATATTTCATCTTAATACCTCAATGAGATTCCGAGATATCACATTTTGAAGTTGAGCCTTTTTTAACATAACTAGATATATCAAAATTCTGAAAACACCTGAGTTTCAGGACATTTCCCGTATATATTAATTTATGTATAAACAAAAATGATAAGGTCAAAAAAACAATCAAATTGATGCTTAATTAATTTTTATTCTCTGTTCAATATAAGATATTTAACTCTTAAGGGCAACTTGCTTCAAGGATACAAGCAGAACTGTTATTATCAATTGTACGTACAAATCCATCTTTACAGAAACATCCTTGCACGCATTGTTCTGTACACGCAGTACCTTCTGGTTTTCCACAATAATCTTGACAGGCAGTTCCACACATTTTATATATTTCATTGGCACCACAAGTANCCTTTTTGTTAAATAATTAAATTGACTGATTGTTAACCTCATTGTAGAGTCTCTGAAGATGGCCATGGGCCGAAACTAGTAAGACTTAATTAAATAAATAGTAAAACCAGTTTTAAAAGTACAATACTAAGAATATTAAATTTAATTACCTTCTCACGAATCAAACATTTGGATTTTAACTATAATTATCTAGGGCCCACTTTTACCATCCTCCTGATAAACTATCTAGGGGATAGTTGCCATGGTTACGGCGGTTTTAAGCGCTCTCATTGGCTAAGAACTGGATTTATCTATCGGATAAATTTATCAGGAGGTGGTAAAAGTGGGCCTAAATATACCAAGATGAATTAAAAAAATCATAACATCTGGCTTTATAAGAATAAAGACATGATTTTTATCACGTTAAATATTAATGAAATTTACTTTAAAATGGTGTATATTTCATCTTAATACCTCAATGAGATTCCGAGATATCATATTTTGAAGTTGAGCCTTTTTTAACATAACCAGATATGCTAAGATGTATTAAAAGTATTATAACATCTGGTTTTATGATAATAAAGAAATCATTTTTGTCACGTTAAATATTAATTAAATTTGCTTTAAAGTGGTATATATTTCATTTTGATACCTCAATTGGATTCCGAGATATCACATTTTGAACTTCAAATTCCCTGGACATTCCCTGCATAAATTAATTTATGTATAAACAAAAGAAATAAGGTAAAAAAACAACGAAATTGATGCTTAATTAATTTTTATTTTGCGTTCAATATAAGATGTTTAAC